TTCTGGAGATCCACCGATGGTTGAGCAAGGCGATAGCTCGAGAACCACAGATTTAGACACTTCTGATGATACACCTGAGCCGGCTTACGTGCCTCCCTCTCCTAGGCCACCACCAGTACCGTTTCCATCTCGCCTGAGGAAGCACAACGAAGACAACCAATTCGCGAAGTTCTTGAGATGCTGAAGAAACTCGAGGTAACCATGCCATTCACCGACGCTATTTTGCAGATTCCATCGTACACGAAGTATCTCAAGGACATCCTGACCAAGAAGAGGATCGCTGAGAAAGAAATTATGGCGCTTACTGCCGAATGCAGTGCTTTGATCAAACACGACCTCCCGCTTAAGCGGTCTAATCAAGGTAGCTTTTCAATCCCTTGTAAATTGGGTAATGTTTCCATCGATCGTGCACTCTGTGATTTAGGAGCTGGCGTCAGTCTTCTTCCATTATCGATCTTCAAGAAGCTGAATGTGGGTGAGCTGAAACCCACTAGAATGATTCTCCAACTTGCCGATCGTTCTATCAAATACCCCACTGGGATACTCGAGGATGTGCTGCTGAAAGTCGGGAATTTCTATATCCCGGTTGACTTTGTGGTTCTCGACATGGACGAAGATTCTAAGGTACCTATCATCCTTGGTCGTCCATTCCTTAACACTGCAGATGTTGTTATCCATGTTAGAGAAGGTAGACTAACAATGGAGATTGGTGATGAGACGGTGGAGTTCACTTTGGACAAAAATCTCAAACAACCGTCATCAACAGAATCTGCTTGCTTCATAAACACACTCGACAATTCAGCTCAGAAGTATGAACCGATCGTTTCGGGCCAGAAAACCGATCGGTTTGAGCATGATCTCAAAGCCGAAATTCTACAGAAAGTCGAACCGATTGGTTCACGACCTTCAACCGATCGTTTTGAAAACAGAGTTCAAAGCAAAAAGTTACAGAAACTCAAATCGATCGTGTCGCATTGTGAAACCGATCGGCTCGAGCACCCCTTTCGAGTTTCGAGTTACAGAACTTGGAACCGATCGGTCCTACATTCTCCAACCGATCGGTTCAGACCCCAGCACGATACAACGCCTCATTTTCATCTCGCATGGGCGCTCATGTCCTCTCTCACCCTGTTAAAGAGGACACTAGTCTATCAGACCACCATTCTCATACACCTCTTGATCCAGGTTGGCGAAAGATCGATAATCTTCGCCTGTTAGACCCCTATGGTAGTTGAGAAGGTTCGGTCAAGCTAACGACCTTAAACAGGCGCTTCCGGGAGGCAACCCGAGTTTGTAGGTTAGTTTTTCTTTTCTTTCTTTTCTTTTTTGCATCGGATATTGGTTTGTGTCTCTTATCACCAGGTTGAGTTCTAATGAGGAGCTGTCGAGGAGGCAAGGAAGCTAGCTATGCGATAGACGTAGGCAGACTTAAGTGCGAATGAACGAACGTCACGAGCTAAGTATTCTTTTCTCTTTTTGATTTACTTCTCTCTTGACTCATCTTATTGGTTGCCTCTACTAGATGAGAATTGACACCGAGGACAGTGTCTAGTTCAAGTCTGGGGGAGGATTCATCTAACGCCAAACCATATCCATATAGAGTAGTGTTGATGAGATATAGTCGGAGGATAAATGGGAGTTTAGAGTGGGTTGGTCGTCCGAGTTAAAATTGCTGTGAATGAAATCGGGTTTGGTATACTCTATCTTTTCCAACATTCGTGCGAAAGCCTATATATCAATGGGATTTTCATTGTTTCCTGCGATCTAAAATGAAGTAAATCCTAGTTTCCGAGCATGTCTCCTAAATACATCCCAATTGAGATATCCCAAAAGTCACTTAACCTATAGCTTCATTGTTTTCACTTGCCCCATATCTTTCCTTTTTATTTGTGCTTTTGTGTTCTTTTTCTTCTCTCTTCTTTTTTCTTTTATATGATGCAATCTCAGGCTTCTAGAACGTTAGAATTTGACAAGTTCACTCTTTTCTTTTCCTTTTCTTGTGTGCCCTTGTCCAACAACTTAGACCCGAGCCTTCGTTTTCGATGCACTCATGTCCCCGAATGATTTTCATTAACGAGTTAATGACAAAGGAGTGTCGGGATGCACCGTATTTCCTAGGGCTTATTGCTTCCTATAGGCTTCCTAACTTATGGATCAAAGGGTGGTTTTTAGGGAGATATTTCGCGCTTGGTTCGTAACATCTACTCCACCTAGACCTTAGGAGACAAAATCATCCCACGTGACATTCATTCGCTCTAGGATTGGATCAGCTATTTCTACCTCACTCGACAATCCATTCAACTCTTTAGATAAATCTAAACTTAGCTCCTAAACCTTTCCAAACCAACACTCACTTTATGTCCCCCACATCATCATCCGGCCAAACCTTTGAGAGGAAAAATTTTATGCAAGTGTATGCATGCATTCCTAGACCTATATGTACATATGCAACCTATTAGTGACAGTCCATGCAAGTATGTACAAAATGTAAGACTCTTTTTTTCCGATGAATATGGAATGCATAATTCTAAGTGCAAATGATGTGAATGATGTGCAGGGCTCATCGGTACGAGGTATGTTAGTGTCACTCCTCCCCCCCAGACTTGAATCAAACACCGTCCGCGGTGTTAATTCTCGGCTAGCGAAGAGGTTCGAATGAAGAAATAAGGAATGAATGGAATGAAGGGAATGAGTGTGTGTTACCTTTTTCCGATGGGGTGGTGTTCCATTCCAATTTCTCCTTCGCGGGTGTCGTGAGCCCATGTGACCTATGCAATGTGAGAAAACTACAATGCTATGTGGTGAAAATGCAAAAGGAGGGGTTGAGAGAGAGAACTGATCGGGCCCTCAGCAGGACCCGTGAGAGGAGTCGGTTGAGTCGGCATTCATGTGGTTGTTCTCATCATCACTATCCGTGCCGAGATCTCTTCCGAGTCGACAGTTGTATACCTTCTTCTGTCAGTTGGGGCAGCACATAGTATGACATGTTGAAAGATCGGTACATGCCCTCTGTACCCACGAATTTCCATAGTATCTCGCCTTCTTGTTCCTTGGCCAGGCCATTCTCCACAAGATGGATGAAGTTGATCGTATCTCCATGTATGGCGTCGAGTACATATGGGCAATCAAAGTGATTATACCTCCAAAACAAATCGAATCAATGTGAAGGATAACCCTTGAGGCTATGTCAGCGACTTCAAGCCGGTTGTGCATCATAAAGTGAAGGGGTTCCATGAGGAGGTTGAGCTCAGTGATTGAAACGATCCGTGGGTCTTCTCATGGAATAACGCTGAGGCCATGAATTGTTGGAGATAGCGCACTGCGGGATGCCAGATCATAAGGGCTTCGAGATGCCATGGTCGGAATGTGCTCGCTGCGATTTGCATCCAGAAAGTTCAAGCTTTGGTGACTGTGATCTTCGGTATCGCCGCGGTTGTACTCATTTGGACGCCCAAAATCTCAGCAAGTTGTTCCATCTTGAGATAGAATTGTCGCCCCTCTAGTCGAAATCTGAAGTAGCCCTCCCAAGGGTTGCCGTTCTACGGGATGAAGCATTTGAATGTGCAGGCAAATTCTGTTGTCAATGTTCGGTATGTCTGAGGGTTGGCCCGGAATAGACGGTCCCACCTCAAAAGTTGAAAAATCCCCTTGATTCTCTCGTAAAATTGTTCGGTCGAATGTCGTGGTGCATGAACATTGAAGCCTTGATGTCTCTGTTTTGAATTTGTTGCAAGGTGAGAGCTTCCTCATTGGATCAGGTTTGAAATGGAGTCAGTTCCATGAAAGGCAAGTCAACATCGATGGGGACCGCATCTACAAGGCTCGAGAATGGTGTGCATCGTGGCTTGAAGTCTTGCAAATCTGGTATTTTGTCCGAAATATACTTCCGCGCTTTTCCCCAACAGCTGCTGGAATCCATCTGAAACACACGGAAAATGTCAAAAATCGGTCAGAGAAAACGAGCGGGTCACCCGAAATCACGGGCGACCGCTCGTTTTTGCCAAAACGCAAATTAAATTTCCAGGCGACCGCTTGAGCGGTCGCTCATTTCGCCCCTTTTTCTCCCCAGTTCAGATGAAGCAGGCGACCCGCCTATTTTCACAGGCGGTCGCTCGTTTTCCCCTTTAGTCAACGGGCAACCGCTCACGAAAACGAGCGGCCCGCCTATTTTCTCAGTAGAAATTTTTTTGAACCAAAGCATGAGTATTTGCTACATTAATCGAGACCCGATAAGACCAATGAATCCCAAAATATGCCAAGACATCATATAAAAGGTTAAAAATCCAAAAGACGGGACATAAGTTGTGGGTTCGATCAAAGGCATTAAACTATGGTTCAACAAAAAGACAAGGTTCTATCCTATGGACGATGAAATCACGACGCTGTCTTCTTGCTTCCCTTGCTAGTGCCGGAGGCGGACGAGGCTTCGGTTTCGCTCTCTCGGACTGATTCTCCCACGTCGGAATCCTCATCATCCATCATCCTCTCCACCGCGCGAATGATCTCACGCTGAGCACTCTCGATAGAAGTGGTGAAGGTAGCTTCTAGAGTGGCGAGCTGGTCATCCATGGATTCTTCGACCGATGTGAGTCGGGGGCCTAGCTCTTCGATGGTGGTGAAACGGGTGTCGAAGCTTTCTAGTTTATGCAGAACGAGGTCCAATCGAGGATCGGGGTTGGAGCTCGATTGACCCTCGGCACCCTTATCCGCGCTGGCGCGATCTCAAGGAAGTTCAATCATAGCATGGTGGGTGTGAATATCTCTATATGTTCACATGGGAGCATTATGTATCGCTTCAGCCCATCGCTCCCCGTGAAAACCCATCCCCATCCCTTCTTTTGAATGTGTCCTCTGAGTTGGAGAGCGTCCATGTCGAGGAGAATGTGGGGGTCGACCATATCGGCTTAGCAGAAGACAATCCCCGTGTCTACCCTTTGTGCTATCTTCGTGATCATCCCGCCCACGCAAATGCATGTCTAGTTGGCCTTGGTGGTGGCCAATGTGTGTAGATGCATGGCTATCCGCGAGGCTAAGTCCATATCCCTCCATGGAGCCCGAACGCATGAGTCAAGTGATGGCCCGTCATGGAACTCCCGAAACGCTTCGTAGAGATATTCCAATTTGATCTTGTGGATCTTGCCGGGTTCATCTCTGCGAAGATGAAGTTGGACATCACTGAGTGGGCATAGCGGATTGCCGGGTGTTGCACCCACGAGATCTTTCCCGCAGAGCCCGAGTAGTGCCGGATGGCTATCTTCTCCCAAACGTCTTGCAAAACATACGCCGATATGGTGGGAATGAGGGAGTGTTTCCCCTTGGGGACCTCAGGATGTCTGCAAACTGGGCCATGCTCAATCGGACCCACTTCTTATTCAGCCGGAACTCCATGTATGCTTCGTCTATTGAGTTTTCCGTCGGGACGTAGCACGAGTATGTGGCTAGGAATTCGCGGGTCACATTCTGAATGAGAGTTCGACGGTAACCATGCCATTCACCGACGCTATTTTGCAGATTCCTCCCCAATCTCCGAATCGTGTGCTCACACATAAACTTCTCGGGCGTTGCTTGAGTTTGGACAGATGCTTAGCCCGCTCATATGCTTCGTCGCGTCTATCGATCTTGACCAGCCTTGGTAGTCCTTCGACGAGAACATTATGCTTTGTCTCCAATATCGTCGTTATTGTTCTCGGCCTTAATTCTCTCTTTTGTGAGAATTCTCCCTCTTGCGATGAGGAGGCGGCGTCATTTGTTCGAGCTCTTCTTGGTGCCATCTGCAAAGGTATATGCGATAGGGATCGGGGCATCGGGGTTAGGACGAGGAAAGTTGGACGATTTTTTTCGGATCAGAGAAAACGAGCAGGCCGCCTGTTTTCACTGGCGGTCGCTCGTTCTTCGAGCGATCGCTCGAGCGCCCGTTTGGCAGAATGGGCGACCACTTGAGCGGTCACTTACTGTTTCAGACCATCGATTTCGTGGCCGGAAATCGGGATTTTCCGGCTGTAATCGCATACTCTGAGACCTAGTACCCATACCTATTGAGAAATTCGACCTAGCCCGACCTACCTAACCCTAGAATGAGGATTCGAGAGAGAGTGATTTACCAGAACGGTGAACTGAGAGAGGGAGAGAGTGAGCGAGTGGAGGGGGCGAGGTGACGGCGTCGGAGGTGCACGGGGATAGGATGGCGGCAGAAATGGGGAGAGCGGATCGGATGGGGA